CAATGTTGTAAGTTGCAATGCAACATTATAAAGACATTGCAGAGATATAGGTGCACAAAATTCCAGCACACTTGTAGCAACATGACATTAATATTTCGGAAATATTGCATGTAATCCAAATTCTATAATTTATATATTGTCATATATATAAATTAACTACAACGTATTTTCATTAATGATTTATTTACATTTATATACCTGTATATGCAACATTAGTTTATGGTTGCAATAACAATGCATTATTGCAAACTCATAACATATTGCAATATTGTTGTAATATTTTGTTGCAATCTTTCAAAAAGCGGACATTTTAACATTGCTGCAATTCAACAGCAATGATGTAGCAACATTTTACAGTGAATTTGCAATATTGCAATATTGCGGTGAAAGATTGTTGTAATGTTTTTGCAATCTATCGGTGCTGTATGGGTTAATCTCTATAAAAAAAATGTGTATTCTTAATATTTTATTTTTTTACATGTATATATATAATTGTATGTATAATTATAATTACATCCCAGTAAACACACATGTAACTGATACTTCGTGTTATAACCAGAAAGTATCTGAAAAGTATTATTGATATGTAATTAATTTATGTATATGATACATAAATGTGCTTCTATTTAATACATTTCATATATGTAAAAGATATATAATTATACTACTATCTGATATGTATCATTATCTGTGAAATGATATGTAACGTATTTGTAGCTGATATATACAGGGTGTTCTCGGGTCAAATGGCCAAACTTAAAATATGAATTTGGTACCTCAAAACAAACAAATATTTTATCTGGAAGTTTGCTCGCAAAAGCTTCGTTCAAAAGATATCGACTTAGTAAGTTACAAAATTATAGGAATGAATAATGTCAAAATAATCTAGGTTTATCTCTGATTGCTTTTTTTATTGCTTTACAGTAACCAAAATTTATAAAATATTTTGTTAATGATTACATATTTTGTTCAAAATGATAGCCTCCATCTCGGAGACAAGCATTGCACCTTTCGATCACAGAATGAATGGATGACTGACATTGTACATCTGTAATTTCTTCGCACGCTTGTACTATCCTCCGTTGTAATGATTGAAGATTGTTAACAGGCACTTCATATACTTTTTGCTTGAGAGTACCCCATACAAAAAAATCTAAAGGCGTTAAATCCGGTGAACGCGGAGGCCAAGCTACAGGTCCAGCACGACCGATCCATTTTCCAGGAAAATGAACATTAAGCCATTGTCGAGGATCTCTACCATAATGAGCAGGACATCCATCCAATTGAAACCAGAAGTTTCTTCTCAAATTCAAAGGAATATTTTCAAAAAATCATCCATTTGAGTATTTAATAATTCGAGAAAATTGTTTGCATTCAAACGAACTGGTAGAAAATGGGGTCCAATTAAAGTATTATTAATTATTCCTAACCACACATTACACTGAAAATTGTGTTGGAAATTTTGTTCACAGATTGCTCGAGGATTTTCATGTGACCAAATATGACTATTTCTTTGATTGAGAATACCTTGTCTGGTAAATGTAGCCTCATCTGTCCACAAAATCGTTTGCCAAAATTGTGGATCATTATTTGTTTGGTTTAAAAACCAATCGCAAAATGCTCTCCTGCGTGGTATATCAGCCGGTAATAAATGTTGGACATGTTGAATATGGAATGGATGACGTCCATCAGCTGAGAGTGTTTTCCATATAACTGTAGGTAAAATTTCTAATTCAGAACCAGATCTTCGGACACTTGTTGATGGATTTTGGTCGAAATGCTGCAATATGATGGCTGTTCTTCTTTCATTCTGCAGCGATGCAAAAACTCCATCAGCTCTGGGCACCATTGTAAATGATCCAGTTTCCTTCAGTCGTTGAAATGTTAAAGAGAATACACGCTTATTCGGCAATCTTCTGTTCGGAAATCGCGTGGCGTATTCACGGCGAGCAGCGATAGTATTTCCATCACAAAACCCATATAAATATACCATATCAGCATATTCACTATTAGAATATGTACGAGGCATATTGTACTACTTTACTCCACGAAATTATTCAATGAACTAACAATTATTTGGTACACTGCGCTAAATCGATTCTGTTTGTAAATAACAGAAGCCTATGAATGACCCTCAATCTTCAAAACAAAGACAAAACAAATATTTTGACATTATTCATTCCTATGATTTTGTAACTTACTAAGTCGATATCTTTTGAACGAAGCTTTTGCGAGCAAACTTCCAGATAAAATATTTGTTTGTTTTGAGGTACCAAATTCATATTTTAAGTTTGGCCATTTAACCCGGGAACACCCTGTATATATGTAATATCTAAGGGTGCGTTCCGTTATGCACTGCAAGTACTGGCACTATGACGTCATGCAAGTGTACTGTTGACAGCGTTCCTTTTTAATTTTGTGCACTTTGAAGCTACTGCAAAATAGTAAAACGGAACGCACTACAGTACGCTTTCAGCAGACTTTTAACTAACCTTTTTCGCTAATAATCATCAAGTGAAAAATTGGTGAAATGGATAATACCATTATTGCATTAATTACATATAATTTAATCGAGAATATATATGATTCGAGTGAGTCATCAAGTGAAAGCGATTTGGAAATGGAATTAATAAATGAAATGAGACGACAAATTAAAATACCTAGAATAAAATGTAAAAATTACGTTAAAAATATTGTATCATTATATTCAGATATGGAATTTAAAAGTTAGTTCCATCGTACACATGGAGGTAGCCATCTTGATTACTGCGAGTGCTTTACCTCGCCGGTTGCAGTAATCGCAACAGGAAATAACGTCAAAATTAATGACGTCATATACTCATGATAGTACTTTCGCAGTGCACTGCTATCTATATCGGAACGCTATTGGTAGTACTGTCAGTACTTGCAGTGCATAACGGAACGCACCCTAAATTGGACGTGATAAAACGAACAACTGTGCGTTTGCGCAGTCGCAGTGTCATCAGGAGTGTCATGGCAGTAAAAGTTATTCGCAAGTATCCACACATATGATTACTAAATATATCTGAGATAAGATATAAATTTTATATAACTTATGTACTACATTAATAATAAAATAGTCTTAAAGTTCGTAGAAAAATCGAAAAGAAAAGATTTTTGCGATTTATCAGCTTGCCAGCAGCATAGACGTATTATTAACCTCACAAATGAAGAGATTAAGTGCACAATATATACAAATAAATTAACAAATAGTATTGTTAATAATACTTACATTTGCTTACTTAATCGATTTCAAATATATTTTATTTATGTTGTTTCGGAATCGATTCTGCGATTATTGCTCGCCTCGACTTTCGTATTGTTTGCGCGCGCGAGTACACAGCTCATCGATGAAAAATATTACAAAACATGTTATTGTCTGCGCTCTTATTTTCGGAAATTCTCCCACTTTTCTCGGAGACCGGCAGGTTTGAGCGATCCAATGCCCGTTTCCGAGATGAGTCAGCGCTCTGCCGTCTAAACGATAACAGGCCAGGCAAATTATATTGAAAATCCATCGCTTTGTATTCTTCGGAAAGCGCGTCAATCTTTTCCCGCACAAATTGTATATCTCCGCACGACGGCGTAGAATCCGATCTTGTTGAGAGAAGGACGAACAACAATTAAAAAAAGCATTCGACATCGACGAAGACTTCGTTATTACATCCAATCATTCCTTGCCCACCGATCGTTCAGAAAACGATTATCAGCCGAAACATATGTAAATGTTATTTTTTCCCTTGTACAAATATTTTCAGATGAAGTATTGTCAACCCATTACAATTTTCAAGAAATGCATTTTCAAAAGGTAGCGAGTGAATGGTTCTGTCTCAGTAAATTAATTTCTTTTAAGAGAAAAAATAGACATGAAGCAGACGCAGGTGATGACAAAGAAAATAAAGTGAATAATAGTTCCATCTCAGTAATTTAAAGCTTTTAATAAGACACAGGTAATGACAAAGAAAATTTAAAATAATAAAATTAATTTTTAAATACTTTTCTTAACATAATTATATTATAGTATTTAGTAACAATAAGGCTCTTAAAAATGTATAATGTTAAAAAGTGCAGTGCGTACAAATGATAAAGTTAATAAGTTTTACTCCATACTATATTTTATATTGTATGTTCGAAATCGAACGGATAAAGAAAGCTGAAAGGAAGGGCATTAATGTATTACATTCAAATTCATGCAATATAAGCATGCACATAACTAGCATTACGTATATAAAACCTTAAATTGTAACAGGCAGATTTTAATATTATTTAAATCGCGCTCGGCCGCACAAGTATACATATACCTCGCGCCTGCGAAAAAAGAAGCGCTTGCGTTAACTTTCACTTTAATCGTAAACACCGCGGTCGCGCGAGAGGAGAGAAAATCAAGTGCCAATAACAACAAAATATGACTTGCTAAAAGGTAAATAATTATCGTAAACGTACTTTCGCCCTTAACATCTCGATCAAACAAGGGAAAATGTTCGCGAAGGTTCTCGAAATCCGGGCCTATATAAACCTCCTCTCTCGTGACCGCGGGGCTCTTTCCGATTGCTCGTCGCGAATAGAGTGTGCTTCTACTTTCCGAAAAAGATCGCTTGTCTTTTTCGGTTTTCTCGTCTAATTACCGTTGCTTGCGGAACAGTCAGTAATTTATTTTCGACCCGGCTTTTCTCTCGTTTATTGCATTCATTTCTTATACATTCGACTCGGCTATCTTTTGGTAATTTCTGTGCGGTAAAACAATTGTAAATTTTGTTAATAGTTGAAATATATTTTTTGTTAACGATACGCGTGTGTCGAGTGTAGTGCCTATCTATCGTCTCGCTTCCGACCGTCCTTTCCCGCTATCCGTTGTGCACATTTTTTGGTCCTTCGAGCCGGATCTTTATCCGGAACCTCCTGTTAATCCGGTGCCACGGAAGCGATCGTGATTAAGTGTCGGTGACCAGTGCTTCTGGAAAAGAGAGACAGTGTGAGAGATGGCAGAAACAAAGGCGATCATTGCCACCGCCACGGTATTATACGGCAAGATTTCGCGCGCGTACGACAACTTGCGGAAGCTCGGCGAGGCCAACATCACCCTCGGCGCAGTAGAGGCCCGGCTTCAAAACCTCGAGAAGCTGTGGGAAAAGTTCGACGCAATTAACGATACGCTAGCCGATCGTGTGGAAGAAATAAAACATGATGTCTACGCCAAGCAAGACATCCCGTCATTAGGTGAGGAAGCTTACCTGCAGAATAAGGGCCTCATGCTCGACCTAAAGAGCGCTCTCCAGCGGCGGCTGCAGGCAGCCAGCTCTACCTCGGCCGCGCCAACAACCTCCGCTTCTCGGACAGCGCTGCCAAAAATCCAGCCACCGACCTTCGCCGGGAAGTACGAAGACTGGCCGTCCTTCCGAGACCTCTTTCAATTCATCATCGGCAGGAACCAGGCAGCCAGACCTGTTGAAAAACTGCATTACCTCAAGCTCTGTGTAAAGGGTGATGCGGAACTGCTAATACGCAATTTGAGTACGACGGATGAAAATTACGAGATCGCCTGGAAGACGTTGAGCGATTTCTACGAGAACAAGAGGTTGTTAACTCGTAACTACCTCAACAACTTTCTGGCTCTTACTAAAATGAAGAGCGAATCCGCAGCTGAGCTAGGGCGACTCTTCCACGGCGTAAAAACAACCGTAAGTTCGCTGAAGAGCATCGATCGTCCCATCGACCGCACGGAGGACTTCTTTGTTCACCTTGTAGTTGAGCTGCTCGATAATCGTTCGCGTCGCGAATGGGAGAGCGTCATCAGCCACACCACCAACCCGCCTACCTACGCCGAATTGGAAGGATTCATAGAGCGACGGCTGCATACCTTAGAGGCTCTGTTTCCTGTGAAGAACGACAGCCGCAGCAGCAGCGACACCAAAGCAACTCGAAGCCATCACGTAAAGAAAACTGAGCCGAAAGACAGGTCCAGAAGTCGGTGCGCCGGTTACCAGGGGGACCACTTCATAATGTTTTGCAGCAGCTATAAAGAGAAGACGGCTACAGCGCGCAGGCAGTTTGTACGCGAACAGAACCTCTGTTCTAACTGCCTGGGGCGCCACCAGCTGACTGAGTGCGCGTCAAAAAAGACCTGTATGACGTGCGGCAGTCGGCACCACTCTTCTCTGCACGACGCCTTCCGCGACGCCGAGACCGCTACGACATCACACGTGGCTCAAGGACAGCCCTTCGCCTCTGTCACTGTGCTGCTCGCCACTGCTCGAGTCCGCGTCCTCGATCGTCACGGATCATGGCATCCCGCCCGAGCTCTGATCGACCAGGGCTCAGAGACGACCATAGTTTCGGAGCGGTTGGTTCAACGACTGCGACTGCCTCGCACGTCTGCCGCCGTCAGCGTCTATGGACTCGGCGAGCAAAGAACGGGAATCGCCAAGGGCAAGGTCAAGCTCACCTTTCGAGCGCTCAACGGTGAGACGTCCAACTCCGTCTCCGCCTTGATTTTGCCGAAGCTGACTCTATTCTCCGGAGGATGCCGCCGAAGCCTGCAATCCTGGACACATCTCAGGGACCTGGAGCTCGCCGATCCAGAATTCCATTCCGCTGATCCAGTAGACCTTCTGCTGGGCGCCGACGTCTACGGATTAATCATCCGCCAGGGTCTGAAAAAGGGAGGTCCTCAGGAACCGGTGGCACAGCAAACTTCGCTAGGCTGGATACTCTCAGGAGCCATCAACGAGAATACACGCTGCCAACGTATGTCCTCCCACCATTGCCAAGTGGAGGAAGACCTCACCTGTTTGGTACGTCGCTTTTGGGAGCAGGAAGAGGTTCGACAGCCGTCTCAGCTCTTCACCAAGGTCGAGCGGGAGTGCGAAGAGCACTATCGTCAGTACCACACACGCAACGCCGATGGCCGGTACGTCGTGCGCCTGCCCACGACGGAATCTCTACCGGATCTCTCTGGAACAATCCGCGCCGCCCGCCGGGCTCTGCAACATACAGAGAAGAAATTTGATCGAGAGAGCGAGTTCAGAGGTATGTATGTCAAATTCATGCAACAGTACTTAGACCTGCGCCACATGATGCCTGCTCCGCCTTCGACTACCACGCGTCCTGGAGCTTGCTATCTACCGCATCACGGGGTCCTGCGTCCTGACAGCACCTCCACAAAACTGAGGGTAGTCTTCAACGGCTCGAGCTCCTTGCCAAACGGAGACTCTCTCAACAGATATCTAGCAACGGGACCGAATCTACTACCTTCTCTGGCCGACATCCTACTGAGTTGGCGACGCCATCGCTACGTCTTCGCGACTGACATCGAGAAGATGTACAGACAGATCCTTGTGCACCCCGACGACCAATGTCTGCAAAGGATATTATGGAGAGAGAGCAGCAACGACGAAGTCAAGGAGTACTGGCTAAGTACCGTTACTTACGGGCTTTCCTGTGCTCCTTATCTGGCGATCCGTACTTTGCGCCAACTTGCCGAGGATGAGGGACATCGCTACCCGAAGGGAGCTCTCATCCTGCTGAGCGACGTTTACATGGACGACATCCTGGCAGGCGCGGAGACCATGGAGGAAGCCGAGGTCATGATCCAACAGCTGATGGAGATCTGCAGGGCGGGCGGCTTCTCGCTTAAGAAATGGTCGGCAAACCATTCGCTGTTACTGAACCAAGTGGAGCCCGACGACCGGCTTCGACAAGAGTCTAGATGGTGGCTGCCCGGCGAGAGTCACTCTACGCTCGGTCTAAGATGGCAACCACGTGACGATCTCTTCGCATTCGCTACCAAAGCGATCACACTATCGACCTTCAGCAAACGGTCGGTACTTTCGTTGACAGCGAAGATGTTCGACCCTCTTGGCTGGCTGGCACCAACAACGATATTGGCAAAAATCTTCATCCAGTCTACCTGGTTGCTAGGTCTGGATTGGGACGCTCCGCTACCTTGCGACGAAGCGAGAAGATGGTTACGATTCCAGAGCGAGCTGCCGGCTCTGGAAAAAGTAATCGTACCTCGATGGCTGGGAGGTGTGACTGAATCAATGTTGGAAATCCACGGATTCGCCGATGCCTCCGAGCGTGCCTACTCCGCAGTGATCTACCTGAAGAGCAAAACAAAGGGCATTACTAAGGTGACTCTCTTAGCTGCCAAAACCAAGGTCGCGCCATTGAAGCAGGTATCATTACCTCGACTGGAGCTATCTGCAGCGACTCTTCTGGCTCGTCTCGTCGCCCACACCTTGCCGATCATCGGAGCTGAAAGAGCACCTCTTCACATGTGGTCGGATTCCACAATCACGCTCGGCTGGATCCGAGGACATCCATCGACGTGGGCCACCTATGTGGCCAACAGGGTCAGCGAGATACAAACGCTGATCCCTGATGCCCACTGGCATCACGTACCAGGACGAGAAAATCCAGCGGACTGCGCTTCTCGGGGACTATATCCTGGTGAGCTGGTTGACCACCCGCTCTGGTGGCAAGGTCCGGAATGGTTAGCAACGGAGAGCAGCCCGTGGATAAACAATGGAGAGGAGATTCCAACGGAGGACCTCCCAGAGAGACGAGTCCGGGCCCACGCCGCCGCCGTTGCCGAGCTGGAACCCGAGTCAGAATTGCTGCTGCGCTATTCTTCTCTGACCAGACTGCTGCGGATCACTGCATGGTGCCGTCGCTGGTGGCTGATCCACCGCCAGCTTCGTCACCCTCAAAGCCAGTCTAACGAAATCAGCGCCGACGACCTGACGGAAGCCCGCCTCTCCTGGGTTAGATTGATCCAGGCTGAAAGTTAAAAGAAGAGATTAGACGGTTGCGAAATGGAACGCCGCTGCCGTCGCGAAGCGCCCTGCTGAAACTAAATCCATTTCTGGACAGCGAGGGACTCCTACGCGTCGGCGGGCGCCTCAGCAACGCTGACCTGCCGTATGATGCCACTCATCCGCTAATACTGCCCAGCGAGTCTACCTTCACTAACCTCGTCATCGATGACCACCACCAGCGGACTCTACACGGCGGGACGCAGCTGACCTTGTGCTCTTTACGTCAGGAATATTGGGTTCCTCGAGGTCGCTCGCTGGTGAAGAGCCGATGCGTCAGGTGCATAAGATGGCGAGCCGCCATCCCACAGCCTCTCATGGGCGACCTCCCGGAGCCAAGGGTCAAACCAAGCAGGCCGTTCCTTTACACCGGCATCGACTACGCCGGACCGGTTTGGATGAGAACCTCTAAGGGTCGCGGACACAAGGCAACGAAAGGTTTTATTGTCGTTTTTATCTGTTTAGCCTCTAGAGCCGTTCACCTCGACGTAGCCTCGGATTACTCCGCCGACGCCTTCATCGCTGCCTTGCGCCGGCTGATCTCCAGGCGTGGGGTCTGCATCTCATTGTACAGCGACTGCGGAACCAATTTCGTGGGTGCTGACAGGCAGCTAGGCGCTCTCTTCTCTGCTGCCAGTGCCGACGGACGCCGCATCGCCGCCTTCGCCGCACAGGAGAAAATCCGGTGGCATTTTAATCCACCGGCGGCACCTAACTTCGGCGGTTTGTGGGAAGCCGCTGTGAAGTCCATGAAACACCATCTGCGACGAGTAATAGGTGACGCCCGGCTCACCTATGAGGAGATGGCGACGCTGCTCTCACAGATTGAGGCTTGCCTCAATTCTCGACCGTTGCAGCCCCTGTCCGATGATCCTGAGGACGTAGCGGCTCTCACCCCGGGACACTTCCTAATCGGTTCCGCTCTCTCCACCGTACCGGAACCGTCGCTCGAGAGAGAACCTTCGGCCCGATTATCGCGCTGGCAGCTCCTGCAACAGATGAGGGACCATTTTTGGTCCCGGTGGTCCAGCGAGTACTTACATACGCTGGCCCATCGGCCAAAATGGTCCCGAGTCAACCAGGAGGCTTGCATCGGTCGGCTGTGTTTGATTCGAAGCGAGCATACTCCACCAACGAGGTGGCCGCTCGCGCGCATCACGCGCTTGCACCCGGGATCCGACGGCCACGTGCGCGTGGTCGAACTACGTACCGCAAATACCAATTTGACGCGACCCGTAAGCAAGTTAGTATTTTTGACCGACGGCGCCGAAGTTTCACTCGAATCGAAATCACACGTCGTAAGCGATTAACCTATTTTAAAACTTCACACTTTCCGCTATTAGATATTCACATTCATTTGCACATCACCGTCATATCGTTGCACTCATGTTATCACCATACTTTGTTACAGGTAGAACACTAAAGATTGTTCCGAATTTTCGCGACGCTTAACCGACACGCGTCTATACTGACGCCCGACACAAACTGCTGATCGGCTCAGCATTCTATTGACAAATTCCGTCGGAGCACGTGCGCTCCACGTGCCAGTCACTCGCTAGCGCGTGAATAGGCGCGCGCCCTTACTTTCGCGCTACGGTTCTTATATTGCAGGTGTACTGCAAGGCGGGCGGAATGTTCGAAATCGAACGGATAAAGAAAGCTGAAAGGAAGGGCATTAATGTATTACATTCAAATTCATGCAATATAAGCATGCAGCATGCACATAACTAGCATTACGTATATAAAACCTTAAATTGTAACAGGCAGATTTTAATATTATTTAAATCGCGCTCGGCCGCACAAGTATACATATACCTCGCGCCTGCGAAAAAAGAAGCGCTTGCGTTAACTTTCACTTTAATCGTAAACACCGCGGTCGCGCGAGAGGAGAGAAAATCAAGTGCCAATAACAACAAAATATGACTTGCTAAAAGGTAAATAATTATCGTAAACGTACTTTCGCCCTTAACATCTCGATCGAACAAGGGAAAATGTTCGCGAAGGTTCTCGAAATCCGGGCCTATATAAACCTCCTCTCTCGTGACCGCGGGGCTCTTTCCGATTGCTCGTCGCGAATAGAGTGTGCTTCTACTTTCCGAAAAAGATCGCTTGTCTTTTTCGGTTTTCTCGTCTAATTACCGTTGCTTGCGGAACAGTCAGTAATTTATTTTCGACCCGGCTTTTCTCTCGTTTATTGCATTCATTTCTTATACATTCGACTCGGCTATCTTTTGGTAATTTCTGTGCGGTAAAACAATTGTAAATTTTGTTAATAGTTGAAATATATTTTTTGTTAACGATACGCGTGTGTCGAGTGTAGTGCCTATCTATCGTCTCGCTTCCGACCGTCCTTTCCCGCTATCCGTTGTGCACATTGTACGTGTATATTGATATAAACATAACATTGTGTAATTATCATTTATCTTTGAAATTTTATTTTATTCTCCTTTTCTCAAGTATATGTTAAATATTTATAAAAAATAAATTTATACTAATTACTATAACATTAATATAAGATTTTAATAAATGTTTATATATTTCTAATTTCTGTTATATGTGTAATATCTGAAAAAATAAATATAAAATAACTTAAAAATATTAAATAACAACATAAGAGAATAATCCTCCAAATATTATACCTATGAATTTTTAATAAACATACAATGTGGATATACATTAGCATAACATATTTTTCAAATGCATATATAACAAAGTGTAAATGCGTTTAATATATATTTTGCTTATATGTAAGACGAACAATAGAAAAATATTAGGAATAATTATTAAATATTAGAAGAATAATTTAATATATTATTGTTCCATATGAATAAAATATATGTTACAAATTTATGTAGTTATGTATTTGAAATGTAAATGTTATCTAATGTCTGAAATTCTATATCTGAAATATATATTTGTTATGTAGTATAGTGGCAACATTATGTAACATATATATAACATTTAAAGTACAGTGATATATATCTCTGATATATCAGAGAAGTACTTTTGTTGCTGACATTTAGTAGTACATATAACATACATGTACTTTACTTATAATGTAACTATGTTATTTGTGATATATAATGTTATAACTTTGAGATATATATACTACATCTCTATGTTTGCTGGGATATAATTATATAATTATGTATATATATATAATTACATGTGTATATATATATATATATATATATATATATATATATACATGTATAATGAAAAAGAAAATATAAAATATAAATACAATATATAAGAATTGTATATTATGCAGTCATAACACACATAACGAAAAATATTTATATTTTTTTAGCTTATAAAATTAAACAATATAAATTTAGAAATTGTGTTAATTAAATATATAGTATAAGAAAATTTTTTATTCTAGAGCAAGATTTTTATTCTCATGTTTATTAGTTTTTCAATTAATGAGAATTTTATTTATATCAAAGAAAGAAAAACAAACTTGGAGATATAAACATTGATAATGGATTTGTCCTATTTGTCCTATTAATTTATATGAAAAGAGATAGATGCGATTTTTGTTAAAGAACTTAAAATGTTGCAGATTATCTCTTTTTTCGTTATACGAAAATAATAAGAAAAAGGGCGAGAGAGATATCAGAGAGATATAGTATAATATACATATAATGATCTTAAAATAAATTTTTTTATACTTAAAACAGTTTCGAAAAATCTTTAACTCTTCCAGAATACCGTTTATTAATGACGTTAAGATATTTATTTAATTTTTTTTAAAAAAAGATGTCCAAAAAGTTCAATTTTTTGACCTCGAGCGGAAAGTTTAATATAATATAAGGATATATTTTAATTGATTTTATAATCTTCTATATGAAACCATCTTATATAAAATTAATTTGTGTAAATCTTTTGTCCTTATAAAATATTTCTTGGCTGCTTTCGCGACAAAATCAAAATTAAATTATTTCTCAGATGTTGAAAAGATTATATATAAACGCATTTTCCAAATAATTTCATATCAATAATTAAAGTAAAAAAAAAATATTTTTTAAAAGTTATGTCTGCTAACTATATTCGCTCTCAATTAATTTTCTCTAATTATAAATAAACTATGAGTTTCTAAATTATGCAAACATGATCCTAAATTTGCCCAAATAATTCCCAAACAATAACAGTAATAAAAAATAAAAATAAATAATAAAAAATATAAAATTTGTCCATCTGATGTCCACTAAGCGTACTTTAAACTTGATTTCCAAGTGAAATAATTATTTCCTAAACGTTAAAACTATTATACGGACGTGTTTCCCAAATAATTTTACGTTAATTAAAAAAAAGAAATGTTTTTTCGAATTATTGTCTGCTAACTATACGCTCAATCTATTTTAATTAATAATAAATAAACTATTATTTCCTAAACTACGGGCGATATTCATAGTCCGTTCTTATATTTAAAATCGTCTTAAAACCTCGTTCAACCAATCAAGAGATGCTATGCGGCCATTTGATTAGTTGAACAAGGTCTTAAGACAATTTTAAATATAAGAACCAACTGTGAATATTGGCCTACGAGAATCTATTCCTAAATGTGCCCAAACGATTCCCAAGCGATTGGTATAACTGATAATAGGGAAATATCAAATTTGTCTGCTAAATAGATGAAGGTCGCGAGATACGGCCTGAAAATGCTTTCTGACAGACTGAACACTTTTGCACTCAGCCATTATGTACATTTCTTTCATACTGATTTATATAGCAGTAATTATTAATATCAATATAATTAAAAAGTAATTAAATAATATACATATTTATTAGTCTATAAATTAACATGTTCTATAACAGACTCTAAAATTGATAGTTATTATTGTTCTCTCCTTGTCTCTCTATCATGCCGATGATATGTAAAGTCGATAAAAAAGTATAAAGTAAAAAAAGCAATCAATTGCCAAGTCTAATAAAAACGCCCGTGTCTTACATTCTGTACATTAGTTTACTCTTTGCATTATTATTTTATTATTATTATGTATCATTGTACAATTGGAAACATATATAATATGTAATTTTTGATATTATTTGCATATATATACACACATATGTGCATAATCATATATAAAATTTACAAAAAGTGAGTGCTTATTAGTCTTGCTACATATTACTGCCTTCTGCTACGGAAAGGTAGAAAGAATTTTCAAACGGGGAGCACACACTTTTGCATGGCGCATAAGCGTAAGCATAAGAATCTTGATTGGTCTATGAACGTATGCTTAAAAAATTCAACCAATCAAATTTCTTATGCATATGTTTATGCGCTTATGAAAGAGTGTGTGCTCCCCGCTTTAATTGGTCTATAAACGTATGCATAAGAAATTCAACCAATCGAATTTTATATATATATGCTTATGCGCTTATGCAAGAGTGTGTGCTCTCCGCTTTACGTTTATTACGACCTGTCGGAAATGACTACGACAATCTTTGTACTCAGATATTTTTCTTATAATTATTCATGTTGTAGGCGATTATATATGTTTCGTATTATTTTGGACACGTGTCCTAACCGTGATGCGTGAGATCACTTTGCGCATGATCATCGAATGATTCCGTTTCGCGACAGCATGTATATTATTCGAGAGAGTCGTATTAGAAACATCGACCGAGACACATGTATTATTATTTCTAAGTTGACCTACCTGCCTCGGGTTAATATCGAGTATAGTAACTGCTTATAGAAACTGTATCCATATATCAAATACATCCTGACGAACTCTTTATAATATTTTATTTTTAATTATTCATGTTCTGAAAACCCCCACAAAATTCAGAAGTGGGATACAACAGTGAATCTATAATTTCGATCGATAAATCTTCTCGGCCTGCAGGTAGAGAAACTCCGGTCCGCGCTTTATTGAGAATTTTGACGCGTGTAATTGCAATACTTGTTGACGACGGTGAGCGGACTGATTTTCTCGTGTGTCGGTCTTATTTGGGAACTTCGCGGCTCTCTCGTGAAGAAAAATCGTTGCGAGTTAAATTATTCGAAATTGTTAGCGGTCGCCGAATTGATTTCGTCTTGAGCTTTGTGCTCTTCGTGATTGTGATATTGAGACGAAATATTTTTTTGTACTTTTCGGGAAATTGTGACCTTGTAACGAGTAATACTAAATATTTTTTTCGCTATTGCCTGCGAACGAGTGGTGACTTTGTGTCCTACGTGGCTATTGTTTTGTGCTGACGTCATTGTTTCGTCCCTATGGAACGGATACCTGAGGACGTCTTGAACGATCAAACCATCGTGACTTTGAAGGAGATCGCGAGACGGATTGGATTGTCCACG